ATTGATGATATGAAGGGTGAGATGATGCCCCAAGACGAGTATGATCACATGGTGAAGCTGTGGAAGACCTTCGATATCAAGACATGGGGTGAGTACTACGAGTTGTACAATGTACTCGATGTGACTCTCATGGCTGATGCATTCGAGCACTTCCGCGTTACCACATTGAAGGCATTCGGTGTTGATCCGATGCACTATATCACAGCACCACAAATGGCCTATTCGCTCTTCTTAAAGGTCACAATGGAGGGCGATCATAGTGAGAGTAGCCTCATGACCCTCGCAAGGAAATGGGATCAGTACATCATGCGCATCAACGCGAATGAGGGACTTGAGGAGAAACAACTCGTGAAAGTGTTCTTGAACCGCATGGGTGAGTTCTATGAGAGCAAGGGAATTCGATTGATGGAGACAAATGAGATCGATGACTTCATGCGATTGTTGAAGAACCTGCGAGGAGGTATCACACAGATCGTGAAAAGGCATGCCAAGGTTGACATTGACAGCACCGCCAACAACGGAGAGCAATCATCCATCTACTACCTGGACGCCAACAACCTGTACGGTGGAGCCATGCATCGAATGATGCCTTATGAGTTGGTGGGTGTACCTGAGCGACGAGAAGTAATGGAAAGGATCAACCGTGATCCGAATGAATGGGTGCAATCACTCAATACGTTCGGCAAGTATGGATTCTTCATTGAGTGTGATATCGAGGCGCCAGTGGAACTCCATGATAAATTCAATGACTTACCATTCTTCCCCGTACAGAAGGCGGGCATGTACTCCGATGGAATCAAGAAGTACGCAGAGAAGAACGACATTGTGGAGAAAGTGAAAGAGGTGAATACACCGAAACTCATTTGTGATCTTGTACCTCGACGCAAATATCTCGTGCACTACTCTCTGCTGCAATTGGGTCTTCAACAGGGTTATCACGTCACTCACATCCACCGCATCATCCGTTTCAAGCAGGCACCATTTATCTTCGAGTACGTGAACATGCTGAGTGAGAAACGAGCGAAGTCCAAGACTACTGTGGAGAAGAACCTGTATAAGCTGTTGGCAAACTCGACCTATGGCAAATTCGTGGAGACTGGGTTGAAACGAATGAAGGTGAAGTTCGCTAGCACGTGGAATGAACGTGAGGCTATCATCCAGAAGCACGGATACGACATGATTGCTGGAACCACCATGTATTCCGAGAATCTGATCGGCATCAAGCTGAACACACCGGTGCGCAAGGTGGAGAAGCCGTTCTTCATCGGGTTTGCCATTCTCGACATGTCGAAGCACATCATCTACGATTTCTACTACAATGTGCTCAAGACGACATTCAACAGTGTGGAGTTGTTGGGACAGGACACGGATTCGCTCATCGTGCAACTGCACGATCGCGCTAACATCGTTCACAAGATGTGTGACATGTACAAGTCGTTTGACTTCTCTGAGTTGGATAACACGAGCTACTTCTACGGAGAACTCGTAAAATACTACGAGCATGAAGTGGACAAGAGAAAGTTCCCTTCATTGGAATCATTCCTCAACTTCAACAAGAAGTTGCCTGGTCCTATCTTCAAGGACGAGCACAACGGACATCGCATCACGGAGTTCGTGGGACTTAGACCGAAGATGTACTGCTTGGTTGATGAGAAGCATGTAGTGCACAATGCAGCAAAGGGAGTTCCTCGCAACGTGGTAATCGATGGTGAGAGGATGAGCGTGAAGAACATCGAGCTGTACAAGCGTGTCCTTGAGGCCGAGAAGAAGGAAGATGCAGTGATCGAAGGCAGCTTCAAGCGTATCAACAACCAGGCCTTCAACATCAGCACGAAAGAACAAACCAAGACACTCATGACTTGCACGGATAACAAACGTTGGATCTTGGACGACAATGTGCATACACTGGCATTCGGGCATTATAGGCTGAAGTAAAGGAAGCAATTATTCACTTTGGACATCCATGGTATCCATGGCCTACAATGGAAGTCAGGTTAACATTGCAGGAATTGGCCGAAATTGGCAGCCATGGGTTTCCGCGCGTTTCTTGTTATGGGTATCGAGGTGAGCAGGTAGACAATGGCAGAAAATGGCAGGAAATGGTCGAAAAATGGTCGAAAATTGATTTCCGCGGTTATTTGGTAGGAAATGGATTTTCGCGCGTTTTACGCCATTTCCCTACTACTGAGGAGCCATGCATCGAATGATGCCTTATGAGTTGGTGGGTGTACCTGAGCGACGAGAAGTGATGGAGAAGATCAATCGTGACCCGAATGGGTGGGTGCAATCATTCAAGACGTTCGGCAAGTATGGGTTCATCATCGAGTGTGACATCGAGGCACCAGTGGAGCTGCACGACAAGTTCAATGACTTACCATTCTTCCCCGTACAGAAGGCAGGTATGTACTCCGATGGAATCAAGAAGTATGCTGAGAAGAACGACATTATGGACAAAGTGAAAGAGGTGAATACACCGAAGCTCATCTGCGATCTTGTACCTCGTCTTAAATATCTCGTGCATTACTCACTGTTGCAACTGGGCATTCAACAGGGATATCGTGTCACACACATTCACCACATCATTCGATTCAAGCAGGCACCGTTCATCTTCGAGTACGTGAACATGTTGAGTGAGAAACGAGCGAAGTCTAAGACCACTGTGGAGAAGAACCTGTACAAGTTGTTGGCAAACTCGACCTATGGCAAATTCGTGGAGACTGGGTTGAAACGGATGAAAGTAAAGTTCGCTAACACATGGAATGAACGTGAAGCCATTATTCAGAAGCATGGATATGACATGATTGCTGGAACTACCATGTATTCCGAGAATCTGATCGGCATTAAGTTGAATACACCGGTACGCAGGGTGGAGAAACCATTCTTCATCGGGTTTGCCATTCTGGACATGTCCAAGCACATCATCTACGATTTCTACTACAATGTGCTCAAGACGACATTCGATAACGTGGAGCTGGTGGGTCAGGACACAGATTCGCTCATCGTAAATTTGAATGATAGTGGCAACATCGTTCACAAGATGTGTGACATGTACAAATCGTTCGACTTCTCGGAATTGGATAACACGAGCTACTTCTATGGACAACTCGTGAAGGATTACGAGCATGAAGTGGACAAGAGCAAGTTCCCTTCATTGGACTCGTTCCTCAACTTCAACAAGAAGTTGCCTGGTCCCATCTTCAAGGACGAACACAACGGACATCGCATCACGGAGTTCGTGGGACTTAGACCGAAGATGTACTGCTTGGTTGATGAGAAGCATGTGATACACAACGCAGCAAAGGGAGTTCCTCGCAACGTGGTGATCGATGATGAGAGAATGAGCGTGAAGAACATCGATTTGTACAAGCGTATCCTCGAGGCTGAGAAGAAGGAAGATGCAGTGATCGAAGGCAGCTTCAAACGCATCAACAACCAGGCCTTCAATATCAGCACGAAGGAACAGACCAAGACCCTTATGACGTGCACAGACAACAAACGTTGGATCTTGGACGACAACGTACACACACTTGCGTTTGGACATTACCGACTGAAGAACATGTAAAGACGAGTTGTTTTTTACTATGGACAGCTGGGCAGAAAATGACAGCTATCGGTTTCCGCGCGTTAGCCGTCATGGGCATCGAGGTAGCCAGGTGAAAATGGTGAAAAAATGGCCTTTTTCAGCCATTATATTCCGCGCTTTTTGCGCCGTGGTATTCGAGGCAGCCAAGGTATGCTAAGGTCATTTTTTCGGCCCTTATTTCTTATGAAAGCCAAAAAACCAAGTGAACTACAGTGAACATGGTAGATGGGGTTTGAGGGGTGCTTCTGACGACCAGTTTGTAGTTGACATGGCCTGAAGGGCATATTTGGCCGAAAAAGGTGGCCATTGGTTTCCGCACTTTATATGTCATTTACCTACCACTATCATGGTCCCAATTAAAATGAAGCGATAAAACTGGCAGCCACTATTGTCAAATCACTCTTTTTATCAATCCAATTATTTGATAATCTATTTTCATTTTACCCAATATTTCTATTATCTCTGAGCATCACATTATTTCTCGTAGCATATTCTTTTCCATAGTTCTATTAAAACCTCAGATGAAATCGGAAATTGGTTAGCTTTTACTTATTTTTTACTGCATTTGTTCATTCCCTGGCTGGGTAAAATATGCAAGTATTTGAAAGCCAATATTACTATATTCGTATAAGCCATATGTCCACATAATTTAGATATGTAACTGTTATTATTGGTTGAAATATCTTATTCATTTTCACTTTAAAACGGATCTAAGATCAATATGTACAGTTTGATCTTTTTTCTTCTTTATGCGTTATTATGTTATTTTTTCATTCGAACTCCTACCATACTATGATTCTCATTGCTTGATTATGCTTTACTATTTCAACGCTATGCGCCATTCACTACATCTCTCTTTGTCAATACTATGTTATAAAATCATCTGATATTGCAATAACTCCAAATCAAACATCTTTTATGTGTTGAGGCGTGCAACGGATAGTTGGATCACGTACATACGATGTTTTTTTTGTATGATCAAAAAAGATCGAGTATTTCAAGAAAGCTGTATTTAAAGCATTTGAAATAAAGTGGTTAAATCGTCACAATATATCGATATGATTAAAAGTATTTACTCAAAATCAGGATACGTATTTATATACATAGCGCATATCATAAGATATTAGATATGAAATATCGGCCATTACAAGTGAACTGGGTATTCTCCATGTTCAGGAAGTGAGAGGAGATTTCAAGGGTTACTTTATATTCAAGTTATGAACGAATACTATTTCAATCATCTATCATAGAAATGTGCCATGAACACCCCTGTAGAAATCTATATACACAATTCCATACTATTTCACAAGTCAAGTACACTCTTTGTATAATTCAGTTGTTTGTTCAACAAATACAAATACAGATACAATACTTTGGGTTTCCACTCCTTGATATTACATATTAGCTTTAGATCTCATCATTGTTTCTTCATCAGATTACAGACCATTAACAGGATACAGAATATGCAAATACTCATTAATATGACGCAAGTATAAGCCATCCAAATACATTTTTCAACAACAATATCATTTGAAAAGAATACTAATATACAGTATACGAATAAGTCGATAAAAGCTAATGAGGTCAACGTTGAGATAACCAGTTTGAATTTACTCGCCTTGTATTCTCGCTTTAATTCATCCTGGCTCTTGTAGTTTTTATCAGCAGCCGATGAAGATGCTGGAATATACTCATAGTCTGACTTTTTCTTATAGCCTCCTTGGTAGACTTCACGGCCATTCTTATATAATCTCATGGTACTGCCACTGAACTTCTGTAAAATCTCCACTTCTTCACCATGCTTCCATTTGCTGATATAGCTAATTGCTCCATTCTTATAGAAATAGCATATTCCGTGATTCAGACCATTCTCATCAATCTGAATTACGGAAACCACATTACGGAAATTATCTTTTTCAACCCAGTGGTTAGTACCATCATATTTTTTACTAATATTTGGTGCTTGACGACCATTCTTGAATAATCCATCATAACTTTTCGATCCATCTTTCTGATATTCTACTCCAAAACCATTTCGATAGCCATTCTTCAAAAAGCCAGTGAAAAAGATATTTCCAGTATTGTAGTAAAATGTACACTTTCCATCCTCAACTCCACGTTGATAGGTGAAAATTCCAATTATTCTACCATCAGTATTGTATATTTTCGCTTCGCCATCAAGCATACCGTTCTTCTGGTGAGTTTGTATAGTATAGCCAGAATGTGGACTTCCAATATGGCAAACAACCGTTTTATTAGAGGTATCCACAGAAACGATAGGAAATTCAAAAGTAACCGAGTTCTCCCACATTTTGGTGTTATCGTCGTTTTCATCAACGACAACTTCAACCTGGCTCAGAGAGTTCGTGGAAACTACAATCGTATTCGTAGGTACAGTTTTCGTAGAAAGCTCTTTCACGGAGACACGTCCTGACATTCTTCACAAATTATCAGAAATAATTGTGATAGATAAAGAAAAACGTATCTCTGCAATTTGCTAAAATCGATTGAACAATTGGAATTGCGAATAATCCCTTCATTTTTGCTTTAAAGCAAGAGTTAACTTTAGATTCTGTGAAATCATACTATTACTATTGTTATTATTATTATTATTATTATTATCATTGGAAGACATATTCTTTTCAATCAATATCATTCCACTATCTATTAAGTGTCATTGGGTGTGAGCATTTCTTTTTACCCTCTTTGCATTTTACTCGAATTGTACATCGTCTTTATAAGAATATCTGGTAGAATAAGTAAGTATTGTTAGACTTTTCTATTTTACACACTATTTTTCTTATAATATAGCCTTTTCTCATTACAAGTTTGTATAGCATCGAATGTACGTTGTCGATACTCCATTTCAAAGTGCCTTCTTCCTTACTCACTCAAAAACAAAACAATCTCTCTATGTCTTGTAGCAATTCGCTTCTTCATTTTATTCGTTCAACACATCCACTCAAAGCAATCCCTTCTTCCAAACAAACAAGTCAATGAGAACTCCACTTAATCGTACTCAGGTCAATTCCCTGCTGCTTCATCTCCCACAGCGGGCTAATTTCTCGCAGCCGCTTCACCTGCGCGATAATGATATCAGCCGCCTTCTCCATCTCCCACTCCTTGGTAAACCGCGAGATTCCGAACCGAATCGACGTGTGCGCGAGTTCATCCGGCACGCCCAGCGCCCTCATCACATACGACGGCTCCAACGACGCGCTCGTGCACGCCGACCCCGTGGACACCGCGATATTCGGCATGGCCATAATCAGCGACTCGCCCTCCACGCACGAGAACGACAAATTCACGTTGCCCGGCCACCGATGCTCGCGATCCCCGTTCAGCGTCACATCCGGAAGCTACGCCTCGCTCCGTCCCTTCAGCCCCACTTCGCGCTGGATCCGATCGATGAACCCGTCCGCCATGCGCTTGATCCGCTTCAGATCGCCCTCCATTTCCTCCTTGCACAGCTCCGCCGCCTTGCCCAGGCCCTACATCGCACACCGAACGCGCTCCTACCACCACCAGCGGCGTGGGCAGCGTGCCCGAGCGATAGCCGCGCTCCTGCCCGCCGCCGGACATCAGCGGCTCGAGGCGGACGCGCGGCTTGCGGCGGATGTAGAGCGCGCCGACGCCCTTGGGACCGTAGCACTTGTGTCCCGAGATGGACATCAGGTCGATGTTCATCGCGTCCACGTCCAGGGGCAGCTGGGGAAAAGGGGAAACGGGGAACCCACCTTGCCGAACATCTGGGCGCAGTCGGTGTGGAAGTGGACACCGTGCTTGCGGCAGATGGCGCCGATCTCTTTCAGCGGCTGGACCACGCCGATCTCGTTGTTGACGCCCATGACGGAAACGAGGCTGGTCTTGTCCGTGATCGCGTTCTCCAGGTCGTCCAGGTTGATGAGACCGTTCTTCTGAACAGGGAGATAGGTCACGTCGAAGCCGCGCTCAGAGAGCCAACGGCAGCTGTCTAAAACGCACTTGTGCTCCTAGGGCTCGAGGGAAAAAAGCTGACCAACCGTTTGGGTCGTGATGATGTGGTTTTTCTTTCCTTTGTAGAACTGGGCGACTCCCTTCACTGCGATGTTGTTGCACTCCGTGGCGCCCGAAGTGAAAATGATCTCTTTCGCAGAAGCTCCGATCAGCTGAGCAACTTGCTCTCGTGCCTTTTCCACGGCCTGAGCAGCGCTCCATCCGAAAATGTGTGTTCTAGAGTGGGGATTACCATAATCCTCAGTAAAGTAAGGGAGCATCGTTTGAAGCACTCTGGGGTCCATTCGGGACGTTGCCTGATTATGAGGGAGCAAATCTAGCAAATACGCCTGCATCCAAGTAAATGACATCTCTCAAGTCAATATCGCGATTTATCAATCGCTCATTGAAGTTATCCAGAGTACTAAAATGTGCTATACGTAATCAGAGCGAATGGTAATGCATACCAATAAGAGGTCTGGAAGCAGCTCTCTGAGCCATTGCTGCCACCGGAATCTGGGCTACTTTTCCCACGAATCGAGTCAACATGAATAAGAAAAAATGAGATTTTCTTTTCTTTTCTCTGTTTCTTCTCCGCAAGGATTACTCATATTGGGTTGTTGGTTGTGAAAGATGTATTGTAGTGTGGATAGAAGTCATATTTTACAGGTTGGAACATGGGTATTTTCTTCTTGATCATCACCTCGAAGTGTCAAAAATGTGTCGTATTTTTGGAATTGTAGAATAATGAGAATCGATCATTTGGAATAAGTTTTGGGTGATTTTGTGGTATTGTGGGTACTGTATTTAGGAATCAAGGATCGAAAGAAAGAAGTATTGCTTGGAGTGTAGATTAGTGTCTCGATAGGGAATAGTGTATCGTGTTACCTAGTTTTTTAGAACTGCCTTCTAGACACGTTTTTTTTACCAAATGATGCGAAAAGAAGCAGTGAGTATGTTTTTTGGTGATTACTCAAATCTCCATACGAATGGGATAAAAATGGTTTGGAATCAAGAAATAAAAATATTTGTATTTATATATATATATATATATTTTTTTTTTCCTATCTCCTTTCCATTCTTTAGAACCCTTCAATATGTTACTATTTATCGAAGCTATTCAACTAGTATACAAATATAAACGCAAACATTACGAACGAGGAACCACATCCCATTCACCAGGTCTACGAAGTATTACTCCCTACATTTCCTTTCTATCTCTTTTCCCGTCATTGTCATTCTGATAATGACGGCAAGATTCGACGACGATCAATCAACTCTCTATTTTCCATTTTCGAACTTCACTACAGTAAAAACGTCAATACCCGCGACAGCCTCTCCACTTTCTTCACAATGTAAACAAAATTGTCACTTTTTGTTTATTCAAATCTCCATTTCTCATGAGCGAAAAGGGGGGCAGTGCGGTGAAGCATAAGCAAGAGCAAACACCGACACCTTTGAGAAAAATGGAAGATCCCACTCTTTGGCATGTAATGCCTTCAAGATCAACTCGGAAAGAGAGTAAAGATCGAATGAAACCTCCACCTCCAAAAAGAAAGAAAATTGTGTTAGAAGAAGAGGAATATTTGAATGCGTTGGGAAGGGTGATAGAGCGCGATTATTATCCAGATTTGGATAAATACAGAACGTATTCTGAAGTAAGCCCTTTGTTGTTAACTTTTCCATAGTATCTTAAAGCATTAGAGACGAAAGACTATGACCGTGCTGAAAAACTACGATACCATCTCCGAATCATTCAAAATGCCGAAACTCCTGGGAAAACGCCAATGGTTACGCCCGCTCCTAAAGGAATGACTCCCAAAGTTGAAAACGACGAATACCAAAGTGAAAGCACCGATAGTTCTTCTTTTGTTCTGCATGATGTCAACAATACGGAGATCTCGCTTCCAGCAAACATTACCCTGAACAAGCTCGCAAGCATGGTAACCAGCGAGGACAACCAGAACTTCCAGGACAAGCAGGAGATCGAAAACAAGAAGATGCGAGAGAAACTGTGGTGGCTTTTCGATGGTGAGGACCCAGAAAGGCAGCGAAGACTTCTTCTTCTCTGCTCTGAAGAGGAACGAAAGCTCTTAGCAGATGAAGCCGTGCGTGCATCCTGGCCTCATCGATCCCAAAACGCACTCATGTTTGAGCCCAAAATCGAAGACTCGCTCACCACTTATGGCGTTCCCTTGCTCACAGATTCCGACGTGGCACCTCGTAAACTCCAAATTGTTCCAAAAAACACACGAATCCACTCTTCTCTGATCGAATTCTCTTCGAATCCTTCCACTGAAAACGATTCTTCTTCATCTCTTCCACTTCCTTCTGAGCAAACTCTCATCGCCACACCGGCTCCCGAGCCTGGCGTAGACGTCGATCCCTTAATGACGTGGGGTTCGATCGATGGCACGCCGCTCTCGTTGGGATCCGCGGTGATGACGGTCGACGCGCCCATTACCCCACTCCCAAAGATCAATAAACGCGAGCAAATCGCGGAGAAGCTGTATAAAAAAATGAAGAAAAGAACAGCAGCCTCGACACCGGCGCCTACCAAAGCGGGCGCGATGTCTCCGGCTGCATTAAAGTTGAAACAGAGAATGATGGGAGGCGGATCGGGCGTCGATCAGCTGCTGAAGCGATCCTACACGCCCGGAGCGAGAACACCAGCGCAGAGCTCGGGAATGACGCCAGGAATGACGCCGGGGATGAAGAAGCGAGTAAGCTTTGTGTCAACGCCTTCGCATGCCCGCAGTGATAAGAAAGTGGTGATCAAGAAATCGGTGACGGATGATTTATTGTAAACGCATTGTTTGAGAACAAACAGGAGAATCGCTGGCGCTTAGACCCATCGTGGATCGCATTGCTTGGTAGGCGTTTACCAGATACTGCACGGTGGATTCTTCAAAAGGCTCGAGAGCAACGCACTGGCGGAACAGCTGGAAATACTCCAAGTCCACAAAGGCGTGCTCCGGGTTCATCTATCTCTCACATCGCTGCTTCAACGCTCACAAGAATCAGGAACGTGTTCACGGCCTGCATGATTTCCGGCGTTTCTGCCTGCTGATTGCGCTCCTGCAGTCTGCGGAGCAGCTCGTAGAACAACTCCTACCCATGAGCCAATCACTCCCTGCTCGCTACGGTCATGACTTGCTTGTACATCTGGAGCTTCTGCCGAGGCGCGATGGCGTCTTGCAGCATGTCGATTTTGGTCACCATGGGGCTGAGAGACTCGTCTCGCAACAATTCATGAACGCCAAACCCTTCGGGATTGGTGGATTTCATCGCATTCACAGCGTCGACGAACGTCTTCGTCGCTTCTTCTACGCCTCATTCCGATGCAAAAAGAGAAAACGATTTCCAAGAATCACTTGATTTTGAATGAACGGAGTGGCGATGACAAACATGGCGTTCATAATCACTTCATTCAGCAGCACTGCGAAAACGGGATCTCCCAGCTTCGGAAATTGCCCCTTAATCCGCAGCATCATGATCGATGCCCAGCTTTTCAAGTCCGTCAGCATGTATTCCAATACGCGGTCGTTATTCGGCAGCAAAATCCCCGTTTCGGGATTATACAAAATGTAAAAGATCAGCTTCAGCGTGCACATCAGGTTTCCCAGCGAGTATTCCGTCAGAGCGTCCAACATACTCGCGTGCGTGTTCATCGCCTTCGTGATGTCGCTGTCGGGAATCTGCACTTGAATCACGCGGAAGATATAGTTCAGATAAAACTCGATTCCCGACGCAAACGTTTCTGGAATTTGGCCGATCGAAAGCTCTCCAGCGTACGTTGCGCAGCCCTGATCGATGTAGGAGCTGATCTGTTTATGCAGAATCTCGCTCGGGGAACCGCTCTCGTCCGTTAAATGAAACTGGGATCGGATTTCGAACTCCCAAAAGTCGGACGGAGTGGGATTCTTCTTCTGGTAGCATGCCTTGTTCTTCTTGCGGTAGCCTAGCATATTCTTTACCATGTCTCGCGCTTTTTCCATGTTCTGCTTCATGTGTCCCTACAATCAAGGTCGATTGACAAAATCAACGAAGGCAGTCTTTTTGCTCACGTCGATCAGCTGACGTTCAAGCAGCATGTTGGACTGCGAACCGTACTGATTAATAGTCATCGCATCCATCACATTCATTTCAATGCGTGCAGAATAGAGATGATTCCAATAGAAGAATTGGTCCACGTTCACATCGGGTATGTCTGTGCTGATATTTTAAAAAAAACGAATACCTGAATCCTTCTGACTCTTCTTCTTTGATCTTTGTTCTACTACTATAAAATTAGGTCTCTCCAAACTCAGAATACGCTTTCGCTCACTGCTATAGTCCACTTTGGGAGTACACAGGTAATTTCCCAAATGAATAAGCTTTAAACAATTGGCATATTTTTTTGTAAGTTCCTCCTGATCGACTTCGACAACAGGTTCCAGCCCAGGATACATGTTTTTCACAAAAGAATTATGAACCTTGGAATGAGATACAAATCTTGATAAAAAGAGCTGCCTAAACTTTTGCCTGTTCGTAAGAGGAGAGCGAAAAATGGCTCATGTTCCGTATCTTTTCTCCACAACTTGGTCTCTATCGTGACAAGACTTCCTATGTTCTGAAAATCATTATGGGAAGATGAACTTAACGGTCCAACACGTGATCGGGTTTTCAGGTAAAACTCAATCTTTTCTCGTACAACTTATTCGCTTATTTTAACCCTTTTATCATGAGTTCGAGCGGTATCTATTCGTTGAGTGAGGATCTCACGCTCTAGCTATCATTATCGACAATGGTTCTGGAATGTGTAAGGCGGGTTTCTCGGAAGATGAGGCTCCGCGCGCAGTTTTTCCTTCGATTATTGGACGACCCAAGGTCCCGCTGTTTATGATTGGAATGGAGAACAAGGACTGTTTTGTGGGAGATGAGGCCCAGTCCAAGAGAGGCGTTCTCACGTTGAGATATCCCATCGAGCACGGCATTGTGACCGACTGGGATGATATGGAGAAGATTTGGCACCACACGTTTTTCAATGAGTTGCGTGCCCAGCCTGAAGAGTTCCCTGTACTTTTAACCGAGGCGCCTCTGAACCCCAAAGCCAATCGCGAGCGCATGACCCAGATTATGTTCGAGACGTTCAATATTCCTGCGATGTACATCCAGATCCAGGCCGTCCTTGCCATGTACGCTGCGGGTCGTACCACGGGTATGGTGCTGGACTCAGGTGATGGTGTGTCGCACACTGTGCCGATCTTCGAAGGCTATTCGCTTCCTCACGCGATTCTGCGAATGGACCTGGCTGGCCGTGATCTGACCGAGTATCTGCAGACCATCTTAACGGAGCGTGGCTACACGTTCACTTCCACTGCGGAGCGCGAAATCGTGCGAGACATCAAGGAGAAGCTGTGCTACGTGGCCTACGACTTCGATAAGGAGATGAAGCTGGCTGCGGAGGGTCCCACGCTGGAGCGCAATTACGAGATGCCGGACGGCAACATCATCACCATTGCGAACGAGCGATTCCGCGTGCCGGAAGTGCTGTTCAACCCCGCTTTGGCAGGCCGCGAGATGCGATTCGGAGGCATCCACGATACCGCCCACGCCACCATTCAGAAATGCGACGTGGATTTGCGTCGCGCCATGTACGAAAACGTCATTCTCTCCGGAGGTACCACGATGTATCCCGGAATTGGAGAGCGTTTGCAGAAGGAGCTGATCAAACTGGTGCCTTCTGACGTGAAGGTGAAAGTGTTTGCCTCGCCGGAGCGGAAGTATATGGTGTGGATTGGAGGCGCGTTGCTGACCACACTTTCTTCCTTCCATGAGATGTGGGTGTCCAAAGCGGAGTACGAGGAGAGCGGCGTGTCGATTGTTCATCAGAAGTGTGTTTGGAGTGTTTGTTGAACAAAGAAGAAAAGAAGGAGCAGAATTATTAGTAGAAGCAGAATTAGAATTAGAATTAGAAGCAGAAGCAGGAGGAGCATCAGGGGAAGGAACAGGAGCAGGTTCAGGAACAAAGCATCGAGCAACTGGACCGTCTGATTCAATCGTAAACGAAACAGGAAGGAGAATTGTATAACACCGTTCCTGCAGCATCGTAGCGAGCTGCTCCATGGTGTCTACTCCAGGAAACAGACTCAGGCAAGACGAATCAATTTCCACTGGGCATTCCGCGGTTCCGTCATTTAGTCGGATCGTGAGGCGATCCGAGCGAAGATTGCTCACTTCCATCACGCTTCCACGAATTACCACCTTTGTGACCTCATCCACTTCGATTAAACTGCGCATCGGAATGTCCTTCCAATTCTGGTCGGCGCAGAGGACTTGGTCTGTAAGGAGTTTTCGATTTGCGAAGATCCAAAAGCGTTCCAATTCCTGAGAAACCTCGAGTTCGGGAGGAAGAAGCAGGAAGCTGCTCTGTGTAGTGTAGAGAATTTGATTGTTTCTATTCTGAAGGACACACTGGAAACACACTTCTTTGAAAGATTGAAGAACTTGGCATAAAGAGGAATCGAGAGATTGAACTAGAAAGAATTAATCAAAGGAAAGTGAATCGAACGTAATCACATCGAAGATTGCTCGTGACAAGAATCGTCATCGTGAAATTGCTTTCATTGCAGTACGTCAGCGATTCATCAAAACACGTAAAGCTTTGCACCTATTCATCATTTCTCATTCCACTCCAATTCACATAATCCTGTAGCGCCGTTTCCCAACTCACAATCTTACAAATGCAATCAAACATTGCTCTACACGTCAGTCCTCCATCGCATCTCCACTCTTCCTTCGTTTCGATCAATTTCCTGCAATACTGCGTTCGCATCATCTGCTGCATCGCCGATGTGGGGATCTGAATCTCATTCTCTTTCGCTGTTTAAACGTGACGAAACCAATCGTATAACTCAATGCATCGCTCTGCGATCGATTCCTCATTGATCAGATTGTGGATCGACGCGAAAGACGATTTGATTGGATTGAAAAGCGTCACTCCCGAATAGCGGGACGACGCACTCGCTGTGATTTTATCCTGGTGCTGCGAAGCGTGGATGGACGATAGAAAAACGGGCGATCCAAAGCTCTACGATGGACCGTTCGACTCAAATTCACAGTGAAAATGTCGAGTTTGTCGAGTTCTGTGGAGAAAACAGTGACGATCACGGGCGAGAAAGAAGTCTCGTCCACCAGGTAAATCGTGCAGAGGTAATCGCCTTTCGAACACTGCCGCGGCGGCATGGCTTTGATGAGGATTCCGCAGGTGGTTGCGAGTTCGGTGGTGTTTAAAATGAAATTGAGAGGAAGCAGATTTGTTTCGATGTACATATCGTTCTTGCGGACTAGAATCGTTCGAGGCAGTTGGGAGTGACGAAGAATGTCGGCATCGCTCGCTTCTAACATCTTTTTGGAAATCGTTGTGGGGGACGAAGGCAGCGAAGTGAAAACCTGAACTTCGTTTGTGTGGGTGTGGAGAGTCACCACGGTGGGATGACTGTTGGAATTGTCAGGCGGTGAAAGGTCCACGACAAAGCTCGGAATCATTTGTCTTGAATCGGCATCCTCGGTCGCTTTCAAAGCATTGAGCTCGACGTAGCGAAAGATCACATTATCTCCTTGAATTTCGATTTCGGACTAGAGGCTAACTTAAAAATCTAAATCATACATTCATTTGGATTTGCTCATTCATTATGGAGCACCAAGTGTTGCAAAAAATCAAAAGACACGAATTATTGCTTGCTGAACAGGTTACATGTAACAGTAAAGGAAATATCAAACCCAGATTCAAATGTGGATATCTCTCGCCCAGAAAGCAACAACAAAAGCTTGAGACACTGCCTTTCTCAAATTTGCAGTAAAATCGTCACTAAGCACTCTTCCAAACACAGACAACTACAGAGAACGAATTCGGCAAAAATACCTTAACAGGCCTCTCTCCGCATTTCTCATAATCCGAGAAGGATGTCAATCTGCGAAAGGTTTCCATCACAAAATTTTTGAAAAAGAAAGAGATTTATGGAGAGCGAGTTCCTTAAACCTGCCGAAGCATTTGTGAAGTTCTTGCGAACAAGTTGCAGTTGCTTTCATGTCGTGAAGAACTGTTGTGAAGAGTTGTCATCCAATGGATTCCAGCGTCTAAGTGAGAAGACGAACTGGGGCTCTATTATAAAACCCCTGGGAAAGTATTATCTCACTCGGAATGAATCTGCTGTCATCGCCTTCGAGGTGGGAGGAAAGTATAAGCAAGGAAATGGATTCTCGGTGGTTGCTGCACACACCGATTCTCCCTATCTCAAGATCAAGCCCGTTTCGAAGATCGAGTCCAATGGTTACTGCCAGATTGGAGTTGAGACGTACGGTGGAGGTTTGTGGGAAACCTGGCTAGATCGCGACCTAGGTCTTGCAGGTCGTGTGCTGGTACCAAAGTGAATTGATTTTCCAATCTAGTACGAAGACAACGGCGTGATTCGCTCAAAATTGGTCAATATTGACGAGAGCATCGGAATCATCCCCTCTCTTGCGATCCATCTCCGAGAAGGCGACGCAAAGCGTGGCGTTACGATCAACAAAGAAACCATGCTTCCCCCGATCACTCGCCTGACCACTCCCAAATCCTCCGAAAAAACCGACGATTCTTCGGATTCTTCGGCTCCCTCCGAATCTCCAGAAGTGCTCCAACGCCACGACGCCGATTTGGTGCAGTTCATCTGCGAGCACATCGCCTTACCTCCCTCCAGCCTCCTCGACTTCGAACTTTTCTGCTACGATCTGAACGAAGCCCGGATCGCGGGCCTCCACAAAGAGTTCATCTCCGGGCGGGGTCTGGACAACATGGCGTGCGCGTTCGCCGCGCTGGAAGGATTTCTGAGCGCGTCGAACCTCTCCGAGGAGCAGAACATTCGCTGCATGGTGCTGTTCGACAACGAGGAAGTGGGCTCCGACTCGCTGATGGGCGCCGGATCCACCCTCCTAGGCGACGTGATGCGAACGATCAGCGGGTCGTGCGAGGAGGACCGCGTGAGTCGACGCAGAAGCATGATTTTGTCGTGTGTAGGGATGAAAAACAAGCGATGAACGGAAGGATATGGCGCACGCGGTGCATCCCAGCTTTGCCTCCGTGCACGAGGCCAACCACAAACCAGCACTTAACAAGGGAATGGTCATTAAAACACATTGTAAGCAGAGATATGCGACGTCTTCGCTTTCTACCTCCGTCATACAGATGATTTGTAAACAGAAGCAGGTTCCCTTCCAGCAGTTCGTCCTGCGGCAGGATAAAATCGGGGGAAGCACGATAGGGCCGATCATGAGCACGCGAGAGGGCATCTACACGGTGGATGTGGGACTGCCGCAGTTGTCGATGCACAGCATTCGAGAGACGATGGGAACGAAGGATGTAAAGTATGGAATCGACTTTGTGAGAGAGTTTATGGAGAATTACGGAAAGGTAGAGGAAACAGGCGAGCGTTAGGTGTAGATGGTGGATAACATTCAATTGGACTGTTTGCTTGTTTGTTTGAATCCTTTTTGATTGATTCTAGCGATTCTCTGGGTGTTTTGCGGTTATTTGGGCATTCTGGGAGGAAAAGGCAACGTGGCAGTTACACATTCACTCCTTCTCTAAAACGTACCTCGAGTAGTATGTTAGCTCGTCTGTTCGTAGCACAAGGAGTTCGCTGCCTAGCAGCTTCCACTCGGTATTGCTTTGGTGAGCGCTGAATCACTCAATAGTCTGGTGCAAGGCGCAGTGGTAAATCGACACATTCCAACCCGTAGATTTTTTTCAGAGCAAGCAGGTTTGTTCTCGTTTTTGCTGGATAATATCTAGATGAGGCTGTCTCTGAGCCAGTGTCTGCGAATCGTAGAGGGCTATTCAAATCTATATAATTTGTTCTAGAAAACACAACTCCTCTCCCAATCGAGGAAGCCGCTGTTCCTAAGGACGCAGAAGCAACTCCTAGTAGGCGATATGAGTTTGTAATAACCCCAGAAATCGATTCTACGCCCGAACCAACTCCCGATCAAAACGCAAAAGTACCAAACTCTATTCTCCGCACTCACCGCTCCAGGACAAACAGTTCATCGAGAACCTCCTCTCCTCGATCGCGGATTCCTCCTCCTCCACGGACGACCAATCCCAGCTCTTCGAGGACGTATTTCCCCGTTTCCCCTTTCTCTCTCCAGATCCGCACCCTCTTCCTCGACCCCGACATCCGCCAGCTCTACTACTCCTACGCCGCGTCTCTCCCGTCCTTCTACTTCTCGGGCGCGGACCCGCATCTCCCGAAGCTGGCGAACGAAGTTTTTTTGACCCGTCTGCGCGAAGAACGCAGCGGCACGCCCAAGTCCCCGCCGCCCGACCCTCTCCTCGCCGCCCTCCACGACAAGAAACGCTCCCTCACCGCCTCCAACACCATCATCACTCCTCCTATCGACGACAACGACAACGACACATCATCAACATCATCAACATCATCATCTTCTCTCCGCTATCCAATCCCTTCCTGGATCGTCGACGAAGTCGACTCCAAGAACCAGACCTTCACCACTTTCTCCGGCGAGCGCTTCTCCGCCGCCGACCTCCAGTCCAGCGCCTTTCTCCGCTCCCTCGCCGCCCAGGCGCGTTTTCCGCGCCGTCCCCGCGACATCGAGCGCGCCATCGACACCTTCGGCCTCTACCCCTTCCTCTCCCCGCGGCAAGCCCGCTCCCCCGCCAAACGGACCGTTGACCGCGGTTATTCGCTGCTCGATCGCCACCAGAAGCTCACCGATGCGGGGATCACCATCGCGTTCGCGAGCGGGAAGTCGGCTTTGCCTCCAAATTTACCGGTAGACGGAAGAGCGCGCGCGCACGCGTGGAAATCCGCGAGGGCCATGGCAACGTCGCCATTAACGGGAAATCATTACTTGAGGTGGGAGACATGGCGGACTGTTGAGTAGTATTTCCCCGCAGGGAACTATCGCGATCAAGTGCTGGCGCCGCTGGCGGTGACGCTGGCGTTTCGACGATTCGATGTGATGGCGAATGTGATGGGCGGCGGTATGACTGGCCAGGCCGAGGCGGTGCGATTGGCGTTGGCGAAGGCAGTGGCGAGTTTGGAGCCGGGATATGCGATGGTGTTGCAGAAGGGTAGGCGAGATGGGAATTACCGAGGCGTAGCGGGATTGCTGAAGACGGACACGCGGATCGTGGAGAGGAAGAAGCCTGGACATCGGAAGGCGCGGAAGATGCAGCAGTGGGTCAAGAGATGAGCATGGTCTTTTATTTGGAAACATGTTGAGTCTTTTGTTGGAGTGTTTGTTGCATTTTCCACTGGCTTGATAAGAATATCGGGTTGAAATTAGGATTATTAGAAAGCTATAAACGAAACTATTGACAATTCTTTGGATGATAATCGATCGAGTATTGTTCATGATACAACAGAGGTCACAAAGAATGGATCATCATCAAATATGGAAGGAAAAAAGAATATTACGTGTTGTGTGAAGTCATTGAAATCCTCAATCAAATAGAAATCAAACCGTACGAACAATCACCATAGGTTCATTCATGAAAACTAATATTGATCACTACTGTTTGTGTAATTACTGCCTCAAGCGTGTCTAATACTAGAGATATACTATCATGATCGAATGATTATAGAAAGTCAATTTCTCGATTGTTAATTATTATTGATTATCAATGTGCGCATCCAGCTGTTCAGTACTGTATTCATATTTGATCATTCAACATAATACTAAAGAGAATAATCGATCCAAATTTCGAATTCGAGTATTATTTGTAAGTATTTCTTAGATTATTCGATGAGAATTCTATATAGTATTCACACATTAGTACAAGATTATGGCATCCAGTTGATTTCAGTCAGCATATAATTATGATTATTAGACACACTAAACAATCTAGGTGTATGCTATTTCAACAACACTTTTTCGAATGTGTAACCTGGGAAACATTAGATAACAATTATCTGCTTCATTTTCGCAACAACCCTTTTTATTTTGTATTTTATTCTTTATTTCTTAAAAAATGTGTCAGTAGAATCACTCTAGAAACAATTATTATTAAATGTTCAGAGTTAGTGATCGATTGATCAATTTGAAACAATTATCGAAATTGACATTTATGTTAGGGTATTTACAATCTTCAATGCAAAATATACGAAAAGCACATTGTAAAATATAATGTTCAAATAGATGACACACTTCGATTCTATCTAATATACGTGCCATGATAGGAAACGTATGTCATTCGGTCAACTAACACTAGCATTTCTAATCTCGTTTCATGCCATCCTAAAGTAATAGATTCAATCTTGTTATTATGAAAAAAACTAGTTGTTATTCAAAATACTCTCAAGTTTATTATGAAAGAATAGATTATCATCAAAGAATTATATTCTGATTTAAATACGAACATTTTACGATATATGAGAAAGTGTAGAACCATTCAAGTGAGTATTTTTGAATAGATATGACAAAAAATAGAATGACTGAAAATGAATTGGTCATATGAACAATAACAAGATATTCAAATGCATTGAACCTATCAATTGAATCATGTCTTTTACGGAATATCACCATTTGATTTAGACAAAAGAAACGAGAATAGAAGAGACATCTATGTAGTGATCATTATATTGAAATTCAACTTGATATTGATTTGGAACACACATTAGTGTATGCATTGGGTAGATTAACATCACGATAATTGGGAATATCTAAATCAAATCATTTATCGGTAAATCTACATACTTTCTAATACTACAACACGAACATTATTGAAGCTTCCATATTCAGATGTTGTAGATGCAAGATTTGGAAGATCTAACACATCAGTTAAGATTCCATTCTTCAAACTTCGTATTGTCAATGAACTACACGGAGCATTTATGCCAACGCAGGCTCATACATCTAGTTCAATTGACTGTAATGATGGGAGATCTACTCAAATGGACCCAATCCTCTATATTCATTACTTTCAATCACCGTCGATAAGGAAGCACAAAACCCATACGTGATTCTATTAGTTCTTAAACTTGAAAGATCTACGATGATATTTCACAATAAGTAATAACCTCTAATTACAAATGAACTAAAACAAAAATGACCTGATGGAGTAGTATGTAAACCAAAATTCAGGAGTTGTAATGCAGGAAGGTTTCTCAATTCAAAACCCCCACCATAATCAAAGAAACTGAATTGACCGATTTCTATTGATTCCAATGACTTGCAGTTCAATATACGGAATGTTCAATAGTAATTACGAGCATCTTTTATGGCCTTTTTAGAATCACTTTCATTATCAAATGAATCAACATATGTAAACGAATTCTTACCAAATTTAACATGTTTCAATTCATTCAATCCTATAATTTCAAATGTTACTGCTTTAAGGAAGCAACAATCTCCAATTTTCAAGTATTGCAAAGAGTTCAAATTAGAAATGGAAAATACTTGATAGAACATGAATGCACTATTCCCTATTATGATGGATTGTAGATTTGGAAAATCTATGCATTCTTGATTATGTTTTCAGTTATTCTTGTTTCTTTAGCTCATTGAGTATCACAAACAATTGCGAAAATATCAAGAAGAATTGACAGCCTCTCTGGATTCGCTTAGTGAGCGGGATCCCGAAACAATTCGCAAGTTGAGTAATGTGTTGTAGGATTGGATTGATAAACAGAGGATAATGTGAAGCAAGCGATCGATGGTGCGAATCGTTGGACAGGTAGGTGTCATTGTGCCGATTCTCAGTTTGCTAGACAACATCTACAGCGTGAAGAGCTTTTTGGTTCGGAAGCAAGGTATGGGAAGCAAGGAAGTGGACCAAGCTTTGGAGATAACCGAAGACTTCGACTCTCTCGAATACCCTGCTTGTCTTTGCAACTAATCCTCGCTGCTATTGGATCTCTTTGCTCCTCATTGATTCATTGATCCATTGATTCATTGATTCATTAGCTGTTTATTCAACAAACAACGCAGACTACAAACACTTAGAACTCCATCGATGCTCCCAGCTTGCCGCACTGGCACTCGCAGCGCGCGCTGCTTCGCCGGCATCTGCACACTCCCGCGTTCGCGGACAGCGCGGCCAGATAGGCAGGTCCGCACGGGCTTTCCACACGTCGCGTGAACGTCACATCGCTCGGCAGCGCGCGCTGCATATCGTCCTGCACCGCTTCGCCGCGCAGCGTGATCGTCAAGACCGCCTTCGCCGCCTCGCTCGGCACCGTATACTCAAACCGAATCACATGGCCCTCCGACGAAACCGTCGCGCCCGCCGCCAATCCAGGCAGCTCCACGCCGTCGCTGGCAAACCGCAGAGCGTCCTGCGAGACGATCGTCACGGCCTCGTCGAACGTCAGCGCGAACTGGTACGTCTCTCCCGCGAACAGCGTCTGCGCGGGCTCCGCTCGAAGCAGCGAGGGCGCGGGGATCTCTAGCGTTCACTCCTCGCCGGACGCCTCCTACCCGACGCTGCCTGCACTTCGGCCTCCAGCTCCACGCCGCACCCCACGAACTGCGCCGTGTACGAAGCGCCCAGCTGCAGCTCCGACCGCACCACGAAGGCCAGCGTGTCGTTGCTGACCAGCAGATCGTCCACGCCGTAGTCCTCCTCCGCCAGACGCACCGCGCACCCCACCGGCAGACCCACGCGACCGTCGCACGCGAACCGAACCACGCCGTGGGAGCGAGCCACGATCGGCGTCGCCAGCACGCAGCTCGCCAGCGCGCTGTCTGCGATGGACCCACGCAAACGCCCCTACCTCCGCTCATCTCCCACGCGTCTTGGCGAGACAGACGGAACTCCTCGCTCGCCGCGCCGCTCTCCGCCGAGCGCACGGCGCCTGCGGGCACCCGAAGGACCACCGCGCCCGCGGGCAGCGAAGGGAGACGGAAGCACGCCACGAGGCCCTCGACCCAGAGGAGCGAAACCGACTGATCCGGAGAGGCTGCGTGGAAGGGAAAGGCCAAAACCCACACGAACCGACGAACACTTCGCCGCTCCCCTGAACGACGGGAGCGTCGAACGTCAGCGTTACCAGGTCGTTCGCGCGCACCTCCGACGAGGCCGAAGGCGTCACAAAACTCACGCGCGGAGGCACTTCCACTAGAGCTGAGGAATCGGGGAAACGGGGAACCGGGAGAGGCCAGAGTGTCGAAGAAGACCACTTCGCCCATCTCTTCCAAACGACGCGGACGACCATGCATTTCGCGATACAGCTGCCGAATCAAGCGAGGATTCATCCCCAGAGAAAGATCATCGCTCGCTCCAACGCCCATTTCTTGGTGCATCATTCCTCGATTCATCATTCCTCGATTCATTCCATGTCGCATTCCAAAGCCCATTCTACTCTTCACTCTCCTTCTCTCCTTTCCTACCCCATTTCGCGGTACAACTCATGTTCCATCATGCACTGCAGTCGATACCCGCTTCCCCGATGCAGGTTCTCCGTTACCACCGTCACTTCCTCCCCCGGGTTCTTTATCTACCCATCACGCTCCCTCCCTTCCGCCACATGAAACCGCTTCGCCAGCCGCGCGAACGCCGCGAGCGACGGCCGTCCAAACCGTCTCCGCTGCGGCAGACACAGCGCATCGCCGGGCGTGTCGCTCTTCACTCGGATCCGCGCGAACGTCGCGAACGGCTCCACGTCCGTGATCGTCAGCCGCGCCGCCGCTTCGCCCGTTTCGAAGCTCCTTCCCGCGGACTGCACCGTGCGGTTCCCCGCGTTCAGCGAGCACTCCACCGTGTACTGCGTCGAGGGCTCCAGGCCGCCAAGCAGAACGCGCGCCTCGCCCGCGTGCCGCACAGGACGGTCCACGAAGGCGGGGCGGATCGACGGCGCGTGGTACGAGCACAGCAGCGTCCCCGGCGCCGTCAGATTCACACGCACCAACGCCGACTCCCCGAACGCGCGCACCGACTTCACCTCCACCCACGGATCTACCCTCAACCGCACTCACCGACACTACCCTCCGCGCGGAACACCACGGGCTGCGACCACGCGCTCAGACCCCCAGCCGTCATCACGTTGACCTCCGCACGCACGCCATCCACCGCAGGGAGCCCGCGGAAATGCGCGTGCGGCTTGTAAGACACCTTCTCGAACAGCACGCGCCCAAGCAGGTCGCTCACGCGCACGTTGAACTTGAGAACGGGCTTGCCCGTCGCTTGGAGGTAGCGCCAACGCATCGACAGAGAGGATCCGTCCACACGGAGGTGGATGTGCTCAGGAGGATCGGGAATGGCTGCCAGATGAAGGCAAAAGGAAACCATTACTCGACTGCTTCAGAGTGACCGGCACGCTCAAGCGAGAGTACGTTTCCTGAACGCCTTTCCCGTTCCCGAAACGCCAAGCGAAGGAATACGTCTTGCCCACAGAGAGACCGCTGATTTTCAGAGGAAGTTTGTACTGCAAATCACACAAACCAAAATCGAACCAACAGCAAACTCCAACTCACGGGAAGAACCGCCTTCCTCCAACACCTCCACGATCACTTTCGATAATTCGTGACCGTTCCCATAGTGATGCATGTGACGGCGACCCAGAGTCACGGAACTCTCGTCGTAAGAAAGAACACGAGGAGCCGGAGCAAGGATGGGCGCTCCCGACGGAGTCACTTTCACCTCCGTAGAAAAAGCAGACTGCACATTATTTACAGTCGCAGCTACACGGATCGCGTACTCCTCACCCGCAAGCAGACCGTCAATAAACGCATAATCACTACTCACCGTCAGCTTGTTCCACATCGTCGGAGCAGGCTGAATATCGAGCGTGTACGAAGAAGCACCTTCCACTCCAACCCAAGAGATGCTAATCGAAGAACCCGATACCAGGTTCACTTTTACATCACGGGGTACTTCAACTACCCCTTAAAAAGCAAATCGAGACACTTACCCGAAACAGCTACGACGAATACACATAAAGCGACGAAAAACTAAATCTAACACCATGAAATTAAAATAACATTCATTTTCATTGTTTCGATTTGATTTCTTGTTGGAAAAGTCAAATCGAACACTCCCCAAATCAGAACCATAACCGCGGATCAGGCTTCAACTCATTTCATCCTTTCACTGATGATATAGATAAATCTAGGTTGCTGTATAGAATGTAGTAAACACCATCCACAAATACTCACACAAAGAATCAACTTGAAAACCACTCTTCTATTCTTACTCATACATATGTACTTTGAGAACAATTTCATGCTTATTCAAACTCTACTTTTTCATTTTTTCTGTTACCATGTCTGAAGTCGATTTTTCGTCTCTGCCTATATCGAAAATGCGCAGTACTTTAAAGTCCCTTGGATTATCGGGAGCAGGAACGAAGGCAAGCCTGGTTGAGCGTTACCAAGCGTATCAAAATGGCGAGATTGTAGCAGATCAGACGGAAAAGGAAGGAGAAATTGAATATGCCGATGGTGATCAAGAGCAAAGTGAAATCCCTCAAGCTGAAGTGGATGCAACTATGGAAAGTAAAAATGGATTTAGGATGATGATTATTTTAGATCAAGATGATAAAATCCCTGGTGGAAGTCTTTCTGATGAAAACAAGGTTGGGGAGCTTCTATTGAATGAAGAAGTTCATCCC